AAGCACTGCTTTACAACACAGACATCTTTCCCCAGTCACGCACAATAAAAAGTCAACAAATACTAAGTCCTGTGTTGTAAAATCAACATGTAAATTCTTAATTTATGGCATGATTTGTCACAGCGTTTAACTGGCATGAAGTGGTACGGCCGTTGGCCTCCATTGATTGGGGCAGGCATTAAAAGATTAAAAGGTTTATCATCTGTCTGTGTTGTTGACGGCAGTCTCGAGTCATTAGCGCCATTAGCATTAAGCCTATCCCATCAATAACAGCCCGGGTGAGTGATCTGGCTCCCTGAGAGAGTGATCCCGGGGCGGGGGGTGGCGCTGCCAGCTTAGCCTGTGCTCTTCTGGAGTCCCTGATCTGCTCGGGTAAGTTTGTCCAGGAAGATGAGTCAGCTACACTGGGAGAAATTAAGAAAGAGATGAGACAGAGAGAACAGCAACCTTCTCGTTTCAGAGCCTCGTGGCGATTAGAGAAAGCGTCTGTAATAACAGATTTTGCTACATCATTTATGTCGCATGTATCCATGTAGCACAGTTAAGTTATTTTTATACTAAAAATAATGATATTTTGAGTATTGGCATGGTATTTTATACTACTAATATCAGTAAGTGCTTCCTTCTGCTGAACACAAAGGAAGATATTTTGAAGGATGTCGGTAATCAACAGTTGATGAATCCCATTGACTTCCTTAGTAACAAACAAACAATGGAAGTCAATGAGGTCCATCATCTGTTTGGTTACCAACATTCTTCAAAATGTCTTCTTTTGTGATCAGCAGAAGGAAGAAATTCATACAGGTTTGAAACAACTTCAACAATTGTATTCCTTTAATAACTGCAAGTAGCCTAACTTTGCAAATATATGTCAACTTATTCTAACCCTACCAGTCTACTAATACTCTACTAACACGCTAATGAGAGTTACAGTAGTAGACATGTACTGTAGGTAATAATAATGATTCATTACATTTATATAGTGCTTTTCTGGATGCTCAAAGGCACTTTATATGGAAATCTCCTCAACCACCACCAATGTGCAGGATCCACCTGGATTATGCGACAGCAGCCATTTTGCGCCAGAACGCCACCAAACACCAGTTTACTAGTGGAGAGGAGACAGTGATGAAGACAATCGGTATATGCAATACAGGTGCAACGTTACTGATCCCCAAAAGAAAGTGTTAAATCGTCCATCAAAATAAAGTGAAAACACAATTACTACTGTCTACTGTATCTAGTGATATATATTTGTATCTTAAAATGAGCTATTGGTCGTTTTGCCCAGCCCTATATAAAATCTAAATTTAGTAGATTTTTTTTTTACTTAAAGGTGCTCTAAGAATCGTTGGGTGACGTCACTTCTTATTGACGTTCATACGTACATACTGTCAAACAAAACGAGATGGTCCTCACTGCAAAACATGAAATCCTCGGGGAGGAGTCGGATCCAGGTCCAACTCCTCCCACCTTACATATACCTAAACCTACCAAGCTCCACCCCCTGATCCCTAAACCCACCCCTAAACCTACCCAGCTCCACCCCCTGATCCCTAAACCCACCCCTAAACCTACCCAGCTCCACCCCTCAGATCTGGATCTGACTCCACCCCCTGGATCTTGTGTACTCCAATGAGGTTCTACTGAACAAAATGGAGGCTAGCTCGACCATCCCTCCTCCTCATCCGCAAACTAACCCCCCAAACCCAGAGACAGCGTTTTTTTAAAGTGTGTTCAGGGGACAGGCAGCTAGCAGATAGTGAGGAGATGTTTGCTGTTTGCGACAAAAAATGTTTTGGCCTAAATGACACGTGACATCGTTTAGAGTACCTTTAAAAACACTCTGTTAGACAGAAGAGTTTACATGTTTACAGCGGTTGGAGTCTGAGTCTGCGGAGTGTCTTTTCCAGTATCTCCCCTAAACCTACCCAGCTCCACCCCCTGATCCCTAAACCCACCCCTAAACCTACCAAGCTCCACCCCCTGATCCCTAAACCCACCCCTAAACCTACCAAGCTCCACCCCCTGATCCCTAAACCCACCCCTAAACCTACCAAGCTCCACCCCGTGATCCCTAAAACCACCCCTAAACCTACCAAGCTCCACCCCCGATCCCTAAACCCCCCTTAACCTACCAAGCTCCACCCCCTGATCCCTAAAACCACCCCTAAACCTACCAAGCTCCACCCTCTGATCCCTAAACCCACCCCTAAACCTACCAAGCTCCACCCCCTGATCACTAACCCATCCCTAAACCTACCAAGCTCCACCCCCTGATCCCTAAACCCACCCCTAAACCTACCAAGCTCCAACCCTGATCCCTAAACCCACCCCTTAACCTACCAAGCTCCACCCCCTGATCACTAAACCCATCCCTAAACCTACCAAGCTCCACCCTCTGATCACTAAACCCACCCCTAAACCTACCCAGCTCCACCCCTCAGATCTGGATCTGACTCCACCCCCTGGATCTTGTGTACTCCAATGAGGTTCTACTGAACAAAATGGAGGCTCGCTCGACCCTCCCTCCTCCTCATCCGCGAACTAACCCCCCAAACCCTTCTTGTCAGTTATTGGCTGAAACTGTTTGTTACGTTTTGTGGTGTGGGTTGGCCCAGTTTGTTTTTGTTGCCCTTTGGAAACCTGGGGTGTCTACTGAGACGCGTTTTTTTTAAAGTGTGTTCAAGGGCACAGGCAGCTAGCGGATAGTGAGGAGATGTTTGCTGTTTGCAACAAAAAATGTTTTGGCCTAAATGACATGTGACATCATTTAGAGCATCTTTAAAAACACTCTGTTAGACAGTAGAGTTTACATGTTTACAGCGGTTGGAGTCTGAGTCTGTGGAGTGTCTTTTCCAGTATCTCAGCATCAGCATGTGTTCACTCGGCTGTCACCATGGTGGGTTTCCTTACAGTTACAGTGGGGAATGAGTTGTGTCAGTGTGTCGATATGAGTGTAGTTGACACCCACCACACTGGCTCCAGAGCTTCCCACTGACGATCTCATCGCAGTGCACGTCTATCACTGTGAGTGTTGCTGTCAGTCAGTGTCTCTGCTGTGAATGGCTTGCAGACACAGGAAAGCATGCACTGTTCAAGTGAAGAGTTCAGATGCAAAAGCCTCTAAGTGTCATTTGAAATTTTCTTCTAAAATGATCATTTTTATCAAGCTTGTATATTTAAGTTCAGTAATTTCACTTAAATGGCAATGAAGATTACCCATTAATTGTCATTTAAGTGAAATTACTGAACTTAAATATACAAGCTTGATGAAAATGGTCATTTTAGAAGAAAACTTCAAATGGCATTTAGAGGCTTTTGCATCTGAACTCTTCAAGTGCACAAACTGACACTTCAAGCAGTATATTTTAAATCTTAACTATATCATTATGGCCACAGAATCTGCAAACAGCATTTTACATTTATTCATTTAGCTGACGCTTTTATCCAAAGCGACATACAATTGCTATACATGTCAGAGGTCGCACGCCTATGGAACATTGGTGTCTCACAGAGTGGATTCGAACCCGGGTCTCTCACACCAAAGGCATGTGTCTTATCCACTGCGCCATCACCACCCCTATTTTACCAGTGAGATTTCACTGGGTAGGGCTAACTAGCAGAATGACACTGCAGGAAAAAACAGAGACTGCACCCGAAAGCACATTCTTCCCTACTACATAGTAGGCGAAAAAATAAGTATGTTCGCATTCCCAATACTCAAAAAGTACCTGGATGTCCTACTACTTCTGGCGAGATTCTGAAGTGTGCATACAATGGACACTTTACTATCCCATGAGGCCATACGAGAGGATTTGTGAATGGCAGTGAAGTGACGCAACTGACACATACGCAGCGTCCTTAAAGGAGTAGTTCACTTTTCAAAAAACTTTTGCTGATAATTTACTCTTCCCCATGTCATCCAAGATGTCCATGTCTTTCTTTCTTCAGTCGAAAAGAAATTAAGGTTTTTGATGAAAACATTCCAGGATTTTTCTCCATATAATGGACTTCAATGGGAACCAAACGGTTCAAGGTCCAAATGAGAGTTTCAATACAAACTGCAAACTGTTCAAAGGACTTTAAACGATTTCAGACGATGAATAAGGGTCTTATCAAGCGAAACGATCGCTCATTAAATAAAAAATAACAAAGTTTAAGTTTTATAAGCTCAAATGCTCACCTTGCTCTGTTCTGTGATGCACGTTTGTGACTCTCCTGTTTGAACTCGTTCATCAAAACGAACGAATCTTTTTCGGAGTCAATTTCGTTCGTTGAATGAACCAAATGACTCAGAAAAAGATTTGTTCATGTTCGAACAAACGTGCGTCACAGAACAGAGCAAGGCGAGCATTTGAGCTTATTAAACTTACACTTTGTTATTTATTCATTAAATGAGCGATCGCTTCGCTTGATAAGACCCTTATTCATCATCTGGAATCGTTTAAAGCCCTTTGAACAGTTTGCTGATGGTGCGGAATTACAGTTGCAAAATCTCCTAATGTACCTCAAACTAAGTATCACTGAGAAATCACTGAGAAATGAGGGAGTTTCGGGTTGAATAAATAGTTCTTCCAATGTTTCCTCATCGGACTCGCGCTCAGATTGAAAATTGTAAAATCGTCATTGTTTGTTATGGTGTTTAGTTTAAGGTGTAGGAAGCCTCAGGACAAGCAGAGTTGATGTTGTTATGGCAATGCAATGGCCGTTTTTTTTGTTTTCGACATGAGCGCTGTATGCAGTAGACCAATCACAACAGACTGAGATATCTGGCCAATCAGAGCAGAGTAGCTCGCGGAAAGGAGGGATTTAGAGAGATTGATTCAAGTCGTTTGAGAATCAATGAAAATGTGGTGATGCGCAAATGTATATTATGAGGAAATGAAACCGAATTAAATTAAAAGGTTTTTTGACCTTTGTTGCATGCAAACATGTTGTAGGAGACTCCAAAACATCATTAGGAAACTAAAATAGAATAAAAGGGGTTCTTTAAATTAAATTTAATTCTATTCAATTTGACCAAGACCAAAATCAAACATCATTGTTGAGGAATACACAAAATAGGCTAAAAGATGCTTTGTTTATAGTTGATGTTTCACATTCAAGCATGTTGTTTGATAGCTTGAATAATTCCTTGACTACATATAGAAAAAACTGCATAATAAACATTCAGTTTGTGCAATTGCACGGTTTGTCGATGCTGATAAGCAGATAATTATTTTAATGTTATAGCTGATAAATAAAAAATATTTCAGATTAAAACAGATGCAAAAATGTAAAAAAAAAAAAAAAAAAAACGATTTAAGGCAATTACTAAAAATTAAAAGTATAGATTCGTTTTCTACAGATCTGATTGAAAATATATATTCAACAGTATAATAAAATTGAAGTATAAATGAATGGTAGATGAAAGAAAAAATATACAGATATATAATTTAAAATCTCTTGCCCTTCTATTAACAGATCTGTGACTGCTTCACTCATTATGGCAGCTGAAAGCCTTCTCAAATAAGCCCAAATATTTAATAAACAAAACTACAAGTTGAAGAGATGCATAGAACTTGTTTAAATTCTGTAGAAACCCAAGGTATAATTCTGTGGGCGCAGATTCTGTGCTCTCCTACTTAAATACAACCTATTCTAAGCTCTTTCATATCTGTAAAACAAGTGAAATGTACCGCGTCAGCACACAACACAAGAACGACAGATGAAAGACAGTGGATTTACAGTGGATAAGTGGGTCAGTTTATTGTCAATACCTGTAGGTCAGCCATTTTGGCTCTTCAGCGGACTGTCACTGTCAGTAGCAGAAGGTGAAGTATTTTGGCTCTACAGCTCGTCGTGAACCGCAGGGCTGTCAGTGTGGTCCAGAGCACCTATCATGAGCAATGCACCAGTGCTGTTGTCCCTGACTAGTATAATGAAGGAATGATCCGCATAGAATCTTTTTGGCTTCTCCACGTCCTCATCCTCATCCATACCGTCGATGCTGCCAGATTCAGGGGCCAGTTCAAGGGACGTCCAGTGCAGCACGGCTCCCAGGTGGAGCTTCCCCCGTCCCATGCTTGATGCAGAGGAGAAATCAGCTGACATCTCGTTCCACGCGCCTACCAAACCCAATGTGGCCAGCTGCTTCTGAGTGAGAGTAAAGAAGTGAAAAAGAGAGAAGTATGGGGGAAAAAAGTGCAAGAAAAAGAGAGAATTTAATTTAAGTTTATTCTAAACAAGCGGCAACCTTCCAGTCTCTGCAATTCACCGACTGGCTCCAAAAGAGAGTCAATCCCATAGACCACCATGTTAAAATGCCCAACTTTACAGTAGAAAAACATATAGGTTTACAGCCTTTGGTCTATATAGCTAATTTTGACCTTCATAACAACTTTTTTTTAAACTTTTAATCAGTATAAATTATATCAAGCCTTAACGTTCTGCATAATTAAGGGCGTAGCTACTTGATTGACAGATTGAAGCCGCTCTCACTACTAGCCATTTGTCTACCGTCTGTTAGCGTCACCTCAGCTAATCACCTCCGACTTTTTGCTCATTTTCATTTATCCGGGAGTTGCCAAGATGGCGACGGCTGGCTCCGCCCACTTTGGGTGGAAAAATTCTCTTCAAAAACCTACGGATGATGTCACAGACACTACTCCCATATTTTTTTTTACAGTCTTTAATTGATCATATTGAAAAGGCAGGTGAACACTAGACCTAAAAGCCATGCTCCAAATGACCCAAGATGATGTGAATCATTTATGCGGACTATAAATAAAAGCACACATATGGGCCAATAGAGACCTTGGAAAATTAAACATTCATGCCCCTTTATGACTCCCAATGGTGGAAATAAAAAAACACAGCGGTCCCTCTTCAGACAGGTAGAAAAGACAAATGAAAGCAAAACATAAAGAGTGTCACTGTAAATCAACAATGTTTCAAAAAATCTGGTTGTTTCCCCTCTTCATTGCCTCCCCTTTATTTTAAAGGCATGACAGATGCCCTTGTTGGCAGTGCGGGCGGTACAAAGCATGCGACAGGAGCTGAAGACGGTGGCCAAGAGAGAGCTGCTTATGAATAATTTAAAAAAGATCTCTCTGACCTCGGCCCGCTTTTGTTTTCCTTTCAGATATGAATTTGGCGGAAAGATGCTCGCTTGACAGGTAGTTTATATTCCCCCTGGATGAGATCCTGGATAAACGACAGTTACCCGCATTGGGAGAGAGAGAGAGAGATGGAGGAATGAGGAAGAGGAGATAATAAGTGAACTGCTGTGGGAAGATTGAGAGACACCCAACTTGTTTGTGAAAGCTGAGACCGATGGCAAGTGCTTTAACTAAATGATTAAGCACTCCCGCCTAAATGACTATTGTAATTAAAGCAGAGCGCATGCATACTCTATCTTGTTGCAAAAATGATGTGAGCTCAAGGCATAGGAATGGCTGTTGGTTGGTGTGCTAGTTAGGTTTGCACTACATTCAGAATTAAAGAATTGGTTTCAAATCGATGAACCAATTGTAATTGTGATTTAACTATCCTCACCTGACAGAAAGCAGAATTTAAATCGGAAGGACAGAACGGCGAGTCTAATAAAATCAACACATTTGTACGTTCTGGGAAAAGAAGTGTCCTTCTACCCTGGTCTGAAAAAGGTAATTTATTAAATATGATTAAATATAAATACTTCAGTAGATCTATTTATATGCCCATAAAACTAGTCAAACAAGGCTTTGACAACTTTGCTTTCCTAGTTAAAAGTGACAATTTCTTCGATTTGACTTCCCTTACTCAAGCTCGAATTGCAATCAGAGTGTGCTACTCAATTACTTTCCTCAAGCTCCATTTGCAAGATATGCATGCCAAGTTGGCCTCTTTTCCCTAGACATGATCGTGTCCATATTCTCCTCTTTCTTCAGTGCACATAAAAATGACTTTTTATTCTTCTATACTAACTTGCGTCGTAGCCTGCGATTCAAAAGGTGTCATCATCATCATCATAGCCTACATACTAGGGATGTGCATGTCCATAGCTGAGGCCGATGCGATACGCATCTCGATGCATAGCCAACGATACGAGACGATACATATAAGCAGCAACCAATGCGATGCAATACGATTCAGTATTATGATGCGATGCGATCTGATTTCGATTCGATTCAACGCGATGCGATTCAATGTAATATGATGCAACTGAGAAAAATATAATTCATATATAATATATATATATATATATATATATTCATATATAATATAATTTCAGTATGATAGACAGTTAACTTTTCTATAGTAAAGTTATTTCTATACTAAAGTTATTTCTATTAACTTTACTATAGACAGTTAACTTTTATTTCTTTTATTCAGACATATAGCAAATCAAAAAAGTATCGATAAAAGTGCCATCTGACTGTTAATACATGGTTCTTTCATCTTTTGTCACAAACGATTAAATAAAAGCAGGTGCTGTTTTAACAAACCATTACAAAAATAAAAGAAAACTTTCACAAACAGGTGCGAAATCGTGTCCATCGCACCGCGCTAAATACGTCTCGCGCTTTTACTATTCAAAACAGTAAAAGTATAGCGCATCTGCTAATAATTATATATGAATAAGTCATTTTTTTTTTAGTCATTTGTATTTTGGCGATACAAATGCCAAAATGTACCTTTTCAAAAGGTACGCTTTTGTACCTAAAGTGTGCATATTAGTACCTTAATGGTACATATTAGCATCTAAATGTCCATATTAGCACCTAAAATGTACATATTAAGACCTACATGTCCATACTAGCACCTAAAATGTACATATTAGCAAATAAGTGTCCATATTAACACCTACATTTCCATATTAGCACCTAAAATGTACATATAGGCACCTAAAATGTACATATTAGCACCTAAAATGGACAAAAGTTTACCTTTTGAAAAGGTACAGTCCCAGTGACAGCTTTTGTACCTTTTTTTCTGAGAGTGAATGGACCAACTTGAAATATATGCTTTTTTACTGCTATTTGAGCATAAGAGGCTACATTTATTGGACAGTTTGCATCAAGGTTTTATGGCTTTTTTGAAATATGTTCCTTAAATGTGAGTTTGGCACTAGTTTTTGAGATTTTGATGCTATTTCCCCATTCAAGCACTGTAGACAGGAGTTGCTTTTACACGCCTGAAATAGCTGCCCGGAGGCGTTCCAAATATGGCAACCGAACGAACTGACTTTTCTCTCGAAAGTTCGCCACATCAATTCCAATTCAGCAATTAAAATGTATTCTCAATTCAATTCTGAATGGGCACACAGACCTGGTGCTGGCACAGAGGTAGTTAAAGGGGAGGTGGAAAACGAGAGAATGATGGACGGAGAGGTTGATAATGAGGGAGAGAGGTGGGGGAGGCTGTCACCTCACTAACACGGTTCGACCCTCTGCGGTTCTCTCTCTCTCAACAGTCTCGGCACACACACCTCCACTAATGCACTTCTATTGTCCTCATCCATTATTCTCCTTCTCCTACCTCTTTCCTCCATCACTTCATCACTGCCTGATCCTGTCGACGGCTCAGCCACCTCTGTGGCATCCTCATTCCTCATCTGACCATCCGCCGCTTGTTTAATTCCACTCAAGTCTTTTTCCCGCTCTGATCCGCAAGTCCAGGCTTGTATCTAATCTAAGCATGTATTTATGTTCCAGAGAGTGACAGTCTCTTGAGGCTTTCTCACGGCTGTATGTCCTTGCCATGCAGGCTGACACTGCATCGGGCGCATTTACTTCCCTTTAATTAATTCTCTGTGTCTCCAAGGGTTTTCCCCCTTGCATCTCTCCAGCTTTGCCGACGTAACTTTGATGCTTTCCGGCACTATAGATTCCGGCACATCCGCTCCTGGGCCTTGACCTGAAGCAGCTTGTTGCCTCTTCGGTGACATGGCACCGCGTGTTACTACGACAGTGCTGTCTCCAGCAATTACGCTCACATGCAACATTAGCAGGCATCTCCCCGCCTGCATTGTGACAGCCTCTATAAATAGCATGTCTCTCTCACACCGTCTCGCTCTTTCTCCTTGGGATGGCGGCACCTCTCGGGATATGCTGAGGTCACTTGATTTTTTTAAAACAATCAGCGTTTAAATATTCAGCACGGGCCGGCGTTGTGCAAGGGTTCATTCAAGAAACCCTCCCTGGGTCCGACGGTCGGATATTAACCATATTAACCGAGTCCGGACCTCCAAGATGACACACGGCTTAGCTTTGAGTCATTTGAAGCTAGTGAGGCTTGCCCTCACTCCAACGCAGCTCAAAGGATGCCCTAGAGGAGGGACAGGTAAACCCTCCCTGAGTGCAGTGAGCCCCCAAATGAATTAATGACACGTTTACGGAGAGGAGACGTGCCCAGCAGGCAGTGGGATTGAGTGATGGCTCTGCAGACGAGTACAGTAGTTTCTGCCTTGGAAACAGATGAAAGGAGGCTAATAAATAACATGTAGTAATGTGGCACACAGACTCCCAACTAATGCAGTAAATGTGATGGTCAGATGGGAGAGAGAGAGAGAGATGGAGCGAGGAGAAGGGCTGTGTAAACATGGTTCAGCTCTAATGCTGCTCATTGGGTGGAAATGGAGCGTCTCTGTTTTCTTCTCTTCCGGTCTGTTGCAGCCCGTCCTTTCTCTCCATCTCTTTTTCTTTTTTGCAAACTGCAGCATTATGCCGTAGTAGCATAACTCAAGCACCTACTGTACATCAATAAACACAACTATAAAAACCTACAGCTCATGAATACCGCACGAGACGAATCGTCGGCTGATGGTGTATGGCTTCACCAGTGACACACTGAGCCTTCAGAAACTGTTTTATTCAGCCTCGCAGCATCAAGGCGGTCGGTTTCAGAATACATCTTGGGCATTATTCATCGGCAGAGTTCTTTATCACTAGGACCTTATGTCTAATTTACATTCTCCATCCTCATCACTTACTTCCCCTGCACGCTCAATACTCTTCTTTTTGTTTATCCTTTATATCACATAGACCCCTTTTCAGTTGGTAAAACATGCTGACGTTTTTATGTGGGCGGAGCTTAGTTGGAGGCCGAACGATCCCTCTGGCTGCTTCACTAACGTTTTATTAGCTTGTTTCTTTAACAATGACTGAAGAAAA